AATTTTTAATATAAATTATTTAAAAAAATTATATTTATTATATTTTTAACTTATTTAATAAAAACGTATTAATAGATTATAGGTTGTGGCTTAAAAACATATTAATTAAATTTTAACATCTCTTAGACTTGAACCTCCATCCTTATGATAAATAAGACAGCGAACCTGCAAAACCATTGTCAGCTCATTGTTTTATTTTGCACAATATTTTATTTATTGATATTTAATTAAGCCAACAGTGAAATAATTTAACTTGTTAAACCTGTCAAACATGGAGCTCAAACTATTTTGACCTCCAGGTTGGTTGTCAAAACACTGCCTATGAGAGGAAGTAAGGATGGCAACGGGTCCCCACAGGGGCAAGGACCCCCTCCCCATCCCCATCCCCATCCCCGTTAATGGCGGGTACAGGGATCCCCGCAGGGATTTTTGGTGGAAGGTCAAAAATTGCCTCCGTCCCCATCCCGCGGGGAATAATAGGTCCCCGCAGGTATTTGAAATCCCCGTCAAGGCGCCAAATAAAACTATCACCTATTTCACTGCTTTATCTTTCAAGTTCCATAAAACTCCTTTTTTGTATTACTTCTAGTTAAATAGACCTGCATGCATGCACCTCTTACCAACCATGTAACAATAAGCCAAACAAGTTTATAGATGATAGGGAAATGGGTGGCTGACATAAGAAATCAAACACAACATGGTTTGTAACAATGGATCATCACATTGAAGATGAAGGCCTTAACTTTTACATAGACAAACCCATAGCTCCACTCTATGGTTGAATTGGTCTCAAATTCACATCCCAACTCCCTAGTGAGAAGCTTGGCCATGACCAGCAGACTGCGAATAACAAAATTGAAAGACCTAACCACCACACCAGTTCATCCTACACACAATCCTATGCCAACTTGCTGAGGAAAAAAGGGGAATAAAATAAAGGGGAAAGAGACTTCTCTAAAACAGACAGGCAAACACCACAAACACCATAAACCATAGGAAAACAATGCTGACCTTTACAATGTTGTCCTCTCCACCAGATACAACCCATCGGCCATCTGGAGTAAATCTAATTGCATTGACACCTCGAGTATGGCCAATGGCTGGAGCTCAGCTGGAGGTGAGCGGTGAGTTGCAGGGCAACAAGGGCCAGTGGTTGTAGTGAACTAGTGATGGCTGAAAATACCACAGATTTCAAAATACCAGACATCAGAAGAAAACTCAAAATTGTTAAATTGGATTTATATGTTTGGGAAGACAATATTGACCTAAGAAAGCTCTGTTGCTAGGATGCACACAGGTTAAAAAACTCAAGCATAGTTAAACACAAATCAGGGCCCAAAAATTCACAACGATAGTAGTACAAAAATGAACAGCACTTCTGTAATACATTGGGTGATGAAGGATTTAAAAAAAAAGAAAAAGAAAAAGAGCAAAGCATAGCTCTTTTCAAATACATCAGATTTTGTGTTTCAGTTGCTTAATGAATGGATAGAAGGATCTACTAACTTAGGTTTACTGAGGTTGCAAAGTACGTTCATATTGCATAAAAGAAAAGACCTGAGTTACCGATTCAGAAATTTAGAATAAAAGAATGGTACAAACCTGTGCTATGGATGTAAAGCACTCAAGAAGCGGAAAAAGAATCAAAGATCTTTATCTGCATTTGAAAGCTGCTGCCACTTTTCAATTAGTGGTGGCATCAAAATTTCAAGATAAAGTGGCTGCAAATTACACTGTGAGTCCGTCTGTCCGTGAGTGAAGAGTGTGGCGCTGTGGTAGAGGATTAGAGGAGAGGATCAGAGGAAAGTCAACCGAGAGGCGAGACTCGTGAGAGATGAATGGGAAATCCCTAATTCGAAGCAGCAAGCAAAAAGGGGTAAATTGGGCTCTAAATTGGGCTCTAAATTGTGAATTTGGGCAATTAAGTTTAGGAAATAGGAATATTAGATTTACAAAAAAAAAAAATTGGGTTGGGCTGAAGAAGTGAGAATTGGGTTTGGAAAAATTGAAAATAAAATGGATTGTGAAATTTAAGTTATGTTGGTATTTGGTTAGCTAATTAGGCTGGGTAAGTAAAAATTAATTGTTAATATATGTACAAAAAAAATATATAAATAAATTTATTTATTTTTTTATTTTATATGGATCCCCACGATTCCCCACGGAGTGGAGAAAATTCCTTATGAAATTTTACAGGTAAAAAATTGCCTCCATCCCCGCCCCACGGGTAGGAATATTTTGAAAATCTCCATCCCCGTGGTGGGATCTTCGTGAAGCTCCGCGGGTCGCGGAAAAAATTGCCATCCTTAAGAGGAAGGAGCGACTCTAATGAGTATGTTCGACTTCTTCAAAGTACGTTTTGCTACACCATAACATGACTTCAAGCTCCATATAAGCCTAAGCAAATTCAAGAGTACGCGCAAAGTAATACAACTTGAGAACAATGTATTACCATAATTTAAAATTACCTAAACCTGCACTCCGGAGCGAATTAAACAGACACTGCACAGAGGTGTACCTATAAAACTACAAAATTGGTTTAGGTAGCTAGTCTCATGAAGGTGCAAGACAACAATTGCAAGACTAAGTGCTTTTTAAGATGCTATTATTCTTGGAAATTATGGTTGATTTGCGTATAAGAATGGGGGGGAAAGGTTTCCGAGGAGGAATTGACGAACAAGGATTAAAATGGGGCTGTTTGTGTTTATTTAGATCACATTGTTTTTTATTCTTTCAACCAAATAACGACACATAAGACTTTTAAAACCAAAGTTGTTAAAATCGAGATTTTACCTAAAATCGTTTTGGTTAGGTGAAATCGAAATTGTAAAATCGAATCGGTAAAATCGAGATTTTACAAAATTTAATTTATAATATATAATAAATTATATAAAATCAAAATTAAATAATAATAAATCAAATTTAGAGTTAAAAACTTGAAATTAGCTAATTACAATCTAAATATCCAACAACACAAATAAATTAAACGAAGAAGATGACTTAAATTTAGAATTTTAGATAGTTAAATCAAATTTATCCCGAATTCTCGATTAAAATATTGATTTGTGGTTGGGTTGTGTGGGTTGTGGGTTTTTAAAATGAAAAATGAGCTTAATTTATGGGTTATCTAGTCAAAACTCACTAATTCAAAATGAGAAGGCCGAAAGAAAATAGGCTAAAGTCCAACCGCCAAACAAAAGGTAAAATCGAGATTTTACCTGATTTCACGGTAAAATCTAGATTTTATAAATTTCAGATTTTAGTATAGATTTTACACGAAATGTCTTGCTGAAATCGTAAAATCGTAAGATTTTAAAATTTAAATCTAGATTTTGACAACAATATTTAAAACATTAATTATCCCCAACAAATAAATTATAAGATATAATTATAGTAAATTTAAAAAGAACATTTTCACTTGTGTAAGCATTAAATTTATATTTCAATGGAAATAAAGTGAAAAATTTAACTTAATTTAATAAATAGTTTAGTAATTTTTGTGTTTTTTTTTTCTGTTTTGGATATTATCTTTAAAAATTGTAGTAAATTTAAAAAGAACATTGGCACTTGTGCAAACGTTAAATTTATATTTCTACGGAAATAAAGCGAAAATTTGGCTTAATTTAATAAATAGTTTAGTATTTTTTTTTGTTTTGTATATTATCTTTAAAAACTTTCAAATCTATCTACTATATTTTATTTTTGTTTCAATATATCCTAATCTATTAACTTTTTAGTGACAATTTCACTTGATTTGATCAAATTGATCTCTAATTATATCTTTTATGAATTTTTATTGTTTGAAATTAATTTTGAAATAAAATTAATTTTGTAAGAATAATAAATTCTTTTTTATTGTCTAAGAAATTGTAACATTTATTATATACTATTCCAGTTTTTTCTTTTGACAATTTTCTTTTATAACAAAAACTATTATTATTAACATAAATTAATAGCTTTCACAATCTGTCGTGAAGTATTTTGTTGGTTGGGATTATCTTGTTTTAATTTTAATTTAACTTTTGTGTTATTTTTCGTTAAAACTCATGAAAATTTTGTTCAATATTTTTAAATATTTTACAAAATTTTTCAATTATTGAGAAAGAAAGTAAATTTCTAGATTAAAATAAAATTAGATAAATAGTTAATAGATCAATAATTAAATGGTTAAATGTCAATTTTGGTCCATCAACTTAAGGTTTTATACAATTTTCATCTGTCAACTTTTTTTTTTGCACTTTTTTTAGTCCATTAACTATAAAAATTACATTTTTTTTGTCATTTCGTCAGTTAATCTTTTAAATATATCTAAATTTGTATTTTTTTAATTTATCAACTTTTAATATATACATATTTTTCATCCCTCAACTTAAAGTTGAGAGATTAAAAATATGCAGATTTAGATAGAGTTAACAAATTAATTATCGAAAGATTAAAAAAAAATATTTTTTATAATTAAGGATTAAAAAAGTGTAAAAAAAATAAAGAGATGAAAATTATATAAAACCTTAAAGTTGAGGGGTACAATTAACATTTAACCTAATTAAATTAATCCTGAAAAACTCCAATCAAAATACTAAAAAGGAATTTTCTAAAAAAAGAAAAATTCCTAAACCGAACTGAACCGGTAGCTTCCTTCCTCCTCGAAGCAGAGATCGACTTCTAAATAAATAATAAAATCGTAGACGAAGAAAATCCAGTATCAAAATTCATTGAGTCAGGGGGAGCAAAAGAGAGGGCTGTGGGGTTCATGATAGCCCTCTCACTCTCCGATCAAATTCCAAACAATCACACACACACACACACAAAAAAAAAGAAAGAAAAGACTTTACTTAATTCTTTACCCATTTTCCTTCATAATTCAATCATTTTCTTTCGTTTTCTCTCTTATCAATCATATGATTCTAATTCTTTACCCATCCTGATCTTTTGATGCGACGATCGCATGCCCGCAATCGGGTTAATTCCATTTGCAATTCAAATTCAAATTCTAGATCCACCGGCGGCAGCCGCAGCACCGCCAAGATGGATCAAATCAGGTTTCAGAGCCGATCCAACACGCGATCCCCCAATTTCTTCCCTCAGATCTCCAAGCAAAGTAGAATGATCTCGCCATTGGTTGTTGCCTTAGTTCCAGCGACGTTTGCTATTTTGCTCTTTTGTTATCTATTCATATTCAGCACTAAAGGCACCGAGAAGTACCGGATTATCATCGACGGTGGGAGTACAGGGACGAGGATTCATGTGTTTAGATACACTGTAGAGGGAGGAATAGCGGTGTTTGATTTTAAGGAAGATGGGCTGGTGAGCATGAGGGTTAGTCCGGGGTTGTCTGCTTACGCGGGTGATCCGGAGAACGCAGGGCTATCGGTTATGAGGCTTCTGGAATTTGGGAAGAGTAATGTGCCGAAAAGGCTATGGGCGGCGACAGAAATAAGGCTGATGGCGACTGCTGGGTTGCGACTGCTAGATATTGGAGTGCAGGAAGTGATTCTTGAATCCTGCAGACGGGTTTTGAGCGTATCTGGGTTTAAGTTCCATGACAAGTGGGCGTCTGTGATTACAGGTATGGGCACCATATTGTGCGAGTTACTGTTATTAAGTACTGATAGTTGTCCTATTCTAGAAGGAGAGTTTTCCTTCTTTTGATTGGATTTTCCTACACATTGTGGAAACAATGTTGGTTTCAAAGAAGTTTGTGATGTATATTCAGCAGGAAACTTGAGAAGCCGAAGACTAGGTGGAGAATGGGGTTTGTATCTTTTCTTTTTTTGGTTTATTTGTTGTGTATCAACGATTACATAGGGAGCAATACACGACTACAAGATTTTTCATCAGAATGATGGATGATATGCTCTTGCTTGACAATGTGATGTCTGTGAATTCGGATTTAATATGGTTAGCTTTAGTTGTTATCCTGGTTTGCTTATAAACATAGTACAGTATATTTGGAGGGAGTATAAATAAAGATGTTAATGGTAATGCCCTCTTCTACAACATGTGACGGGATCAATTGTTTCTTTTATATTTGGCGTCTCTGCTGGCTATCATGATGCTTTATAATTTGTTATACATTGAATATTATATTGGATATCGTTTTTGTGGAGTGAATAAATGGAGATTCATGCTAACCACCTCAAATTTGTATTGAATATTGAAATTTTTGCTCCACACTTTACAAACTAAGTTTTGGATTTTATGATTACCTTAGGCTCTGATGAGGGAGTATACGCTTGGGTGGTTGTAAATTATGCACTCGGTACTCTTGGAGGTGATCCTCTGCAGACAACTGGGATTATTGAACTTGGAGGTGCTTCTGCTCAGGTTTATGTTCTCCCTGCATTCAACTGTTTTCAATCTCTGAAATTTTATCCATGGTATTTTTTCTGAAGGTGAATTGCATTCTCCACTTTCACTTAATTAGCCGTTCAGGCTTCTGATCTGAAAGTGCCACTCACTAGATTATGGCGTTTATGTGTTGTTTATCAAAAGAAATGGAAGTTGTAATGATTGCAGTGAACTATGTGTGTCTCTGTGTGTGTGTGTTTTGTTTTGTTTTTTTGTTTTTCTGTTTTTTTTTTTTCTAATGATTGAGGTACAGCTGCTTAGGCTGTTTACCTTCCCTGCTTTTGAATAATCTCAATCACTGGAGTTTTGTCCATGGTAGTTTTCTGAAGGTGAATTGCATTCTCCATTTTCTACTTGGTCATTCAAGATTCTGATCAGAAAAGAAGGTGCCACTTACAAGATTTTGGCATTTGTGTGTTGTTTTTCAAAAGAGATGGAAGTTTAATGATTGTGGTGGACTATTTGTTTCTTTTCTTTATTTGATTATCAAACTTTATGTTTCTCTGTGATATGATTTGATAATGAGTTGATATCATTTTGATGAACAGAAATAAAACAGCCAACAATTCATTGGCTTTTGATGCTAAATCTAGGGTTTTATGCTTAATGCTAAATAACAAGACTGTTAAATAACCTTATTCTAGGTACATCTTGTATGTTAGCCTTGATTAATCTTACATGTATGTTTGTCATCATGGTTCTCATATGAGAAGCTTGTGTAAAATTCATCATTGTAATTGTATTGTATACTTGTAATAGGTAACATTTGTTTCAAGTGAACCGATGCCTCCTGAGTTTGCACGCACAGTCAGGTTTGGAAACTCCACCTACAATCTCTATAGCCACAGCTTTCTTCATTTTGGGCAGGTATCTTTCATCTCAGTTATCTCTTCCTCCTCCTCTTCTTCTTGTTGTTGCTGGTTACAGTTTCTCTTTATGAGCCTGTTTGGCCTAGCTCTGCTTTTGTGCAAGTGCTGTTGAGATAAGTCCTTACATATGTGTCTCTATATGTGCATCTTTACTGTCACAACTTCATTCCTTTTCTGTTCACTAAAAAAAGGAAAAAACATTTTTGTAATTTGAGATAAGTCCTTACAGATTTCCTTTCATTGCAATTAAGTGTTTATAACTTCTGTCTGTCTGCAGAACATTGCATTTGAATCTATGAGGGAATCTCTTATTTCAAGAGAACTTGAATTAGGTATGTATCCTTGCCTTTGCTTTTGTATATGAGGTTAGCGTAGAACAAGTTGTCCTCCCAAAATTTTTTTTTGGAGGACCAGCCTAAAAACTCACATTTTAATTAATATTTTCAAAAATCAATCATTGGAATAAATATTCTATTTATATAGATCATGCAATGTCAATTTTTAAATTGATCTAATATTTATAACTTTGATCGAAAAAACTTACATATATTTAACGTAGTTAAATTTTCTATAATCAACAAATTGGTTAGGTATATTAGATTAATTTGAACATTTAATCCAACCATTGGTTTTTAAAAATATTAATTAACATATGATGATTTTTAGGATTCCTTTAAGTAAGATGTCCTGCAAAACACTTTTCCAGATATACATACATATATATACACACACACAGGAGGAGGGGATCCATTTACACACAAGTCTTACATGTTACGCTTATACAAAATCTTGACCATTCAATAGTTGAGTTGAGATTTATCATGATTTATTAGATGAAAAAAAATAGTTATCTTTAATAAATGCGAATAATTCTTAACCATTGAAAGTGGAGAGATGCATGGTTGAGATTTTGTGTAAGTGTGGTATGTAAGATATGTGTGTAAGTGGATCCCTACTCTTTATATACTAGCATTTTCCACACCGCTATGCGAGGTGTTCATAATGTATCAAGTTTTTAAAAGGAGAAATATGTGAAGTATTATGTTTCTATATTATATAATATGTAAAAATTTCATTTGTTCCTATCTAATTCCCTTGTAATTTACACAAAGTATTGATTGATTTTTGCTAATGTGAAAGCAACTATTCTATATTCATAATTGCCAAATTCCCTTCATTTATCTTTTCTTTTTTCAACTTCCTGTATTGCCTAATTTTTGACATGCATTGTGCATTTTTAAAGCCAAGTTTATCTATAATTTTATATTCTTAATTCTTTTTTTTTTTTTTTTGTGCAAAGGGGAAATGGCATGGTTCTTGCAGTTTATCTATAATTCTATATATATTTTTCATAATTTAGGAGATGGTGAAGTTCTTGCAGAATTTGAAGTTAAATTTAAGTGAACAATTTTCAAATTAAAATAAAAAAATACCAACCTGTTAGGGTACCATATATTTCAAATTTCAATTATCACGATATCATCCAAAAATTCAAGCTTAATTGCTCAAATTTTTAACCACTCAAAAATTTTAATTTAATAACTTTACAATGTTATAAGTTTGAGGGTTTAATCATTAATTTAACCTCATCAATTTCTATGTATTCTGTCTTTTAGTGGTGTGTATCATTTTCAAACAAAAAAACTCTACAAATTTTCAGGAAATTACTAAAAGACCATAATTTCAATCAACCAAAATGCCCTTGAACCCCAATTAATATACAAAATTGCCACCACCTTTTGACTTTCTAGAGAGATAAAGGAACAAAGAAGAGAGACAAAGGAAGAAAAAATGTTTACTCTACCTTTCTTATACTGCTTTAGATATATACCTCCTTATACTGCTTTTATATATACTTTCTTCTGTATATTTTTTGCCTTTACAGTCATAACTTATTTAGTTAATTGCTTTAGTTGTCATATAATCTAATCTGTTGGCTGTAAAAAGGAAAAGGCTTTTCTGTAATTTCAGATAAGTCTTTATGGTTTCCCAAGAGATTCATTTAATTTTGGCATTTAAAATCACAGTTGTTTCTATTTGACTAGTGTCATACGATCGATGTACATTGATTTGGTATTTTTCTCCTTAATGCTCATGAGTACAAATGTTATTATTTCTGCAAGTACAGCTTCTAATTCTTTGCACAATGGAAATGGAGTCCATGCAGATCCTTGTTCCCCAAAAGGTTACTTACATGACAGGGAGTCATGGAAGATGTCTCCAGGTTCTTTACCTGAAAGGAATGAATTTCTATCCAAATTGCGAGCCAGCGGTAACTTTTCTGAGTGCAGATCTCTGGCCCTAATGCTATTACAGATGGGAAAAGGTTATAAATATCTAAAAACAACCTCACTTTCACCTTTTTTTTTTCCCTCCATCATAGTAATTTTGAGTATTATATTTTCTAAAATGCAGAGAAATGCTCATATAACCATTGCAATTTAGGATCAACTTTCATGCCGAAGCTCCAGGGGAAATTTTTAGCAACAGAAAATTTTTTCCATACTTCAAAGGTATTCTGATATTCCTTTGCAATTAGACTATTCCTTGGGTTTCTACTTTTGAATTTCCTTATGTGGATCCCATTGGGAGAAATAATGCTAACACATCCTGAGGCCATATTACAATTTCTTGGTGATGCAACCATGGATTAATTAGGAAACAAAAGAAGAATAATTTAAGTTTTATAGTTTTTTTTACCTAATTATGAAGTTTTAGTTATTAATTTGCCATGTGTTCTAGGTACTTTTGCATTTCTGTTAATCTTTAGTTTTTATTAGAATCATATTAAGTTTTTAAGTTTTTATACAAGTTCAGGCTTTTATTAGAGTTACTGAGTCTTTTTTAAATAAGATTTGATTTGATTATCAAATTCTTGGGATCCAATTTAATCAGAACAATATTTTCTTCCTGTAGATATTCTATTGTACTTGGCAATTCAATAGGTTTCAAATTTATAAATTTATGCAAGTGATTTGAAGAAATGCATTCTTGATCTTATCTCCTCTCTTTTCTTGTTTCTTGTTTGTACAGTAACTCAGGTCATAGTCCCCACTCCCCAGCAACCCAACCTTTGTGCAACTTCTATTCTAACCTAAATTAATCCCTAATCCCCAATTCTTCCTACTCCAATCTTTTGAACAGCTTCCTCAATGCTGTTCTACATCACTTGGATGCTTCAATTTAATGTTTTGTTTGATTTCTTCATTTACATATTTGTCTCCTGCTTGATAGTTCTTTGAGCTGAAGCCAAGGGCATTTCTTTCTGGTCTTGTCATGGCTGGAGAACGTTTCTGTGGGGAATATTGGTCGAAGTTAAAGAATGAATACCGGACTGTTGATGAGGAAGATCTGTTGCACTATTGTTTTTCTTCAGCATATATTGTGGCATTACTCCATGACGGTCTTGGATTTGCTTTGGATGATGAGAGGTACATCTCTTCCTTTTACTTGTTGAGTGCAGACAGCCCAAGCTGGTTGAATTAATTGACTTGCAAAATTGTTTGGTCCATAAGAGTTGGTGGTTCTATACTATGGTAACAAACTAACGATGTCCATGGTTTTATATTTGTCAGGTTTTTTTTGTCTCTTTCTCATAAAGAAAGTTATTTTTCTTGAACAGGATTACGTTTGCTAATCAGGTGAAAAACATGCCACTCGATTGGGCTCTGGGAGCTTTCATCTTGCAAAGTACAGCTGACTTGAATGTGCAGCACCATGCCACTGACTGGATGATAACCATCATCAGTGATGACTCACCCACTTTGTTCTCTTTAATTGCCATCGCTGTCTTATTGATATTTATAGGATGGATGATATCAAAATGCAGGAAGCCACAGTTGAAGACAGTGTATGATCTAGAGAAGGGACGATATTTTGTTACCCGTGTTAATCGGAGATGATAGTATTTGCTAAGCGTATCCAAACCTTTCATCTAGATATTGCAGTCCCGGAGGAAGTGTGTGATGTACGAAACACAAATATCATGCTCCCTCAGTTTATTGCAGCCTTACAGGACTCACCTCTCCACGGGCACTCTAGATTATGTATCATGGAGTTTCAGCAGCAGGCGTGTCACCTTTCTCGCAGGGAGCTTTATAGAAAGATTAACGATTGCCGCTTTGTAACGAGAGCCAAAATACTTAATTTGTTGTATACCCATAATACAAAGCATAGGGAGGAGTGGGGTTGATTGTGCTCCAATACCAGGTAAACATTAATCTTTTTTTTTTTTGTGCCAAAAGATAAATATTAATGACAGTGCTTTCTTCACAGTTTCTCTTGATTTGTTTGGGCAATTTTCAGCTTATAGCTGCCAAAGAAAAAAGTTTGTGGATTTTTATCGAAGAACTCTTAGCATTTCCAACTTGCTATCAAGTTGAAGGTCAACTATTAGTTCAAAGGAATCGACTAAAAGGAAATGGAGAAGGCCATTTTTTGGTTCTTAGAAAGAGAAGTGAATGTATCAATACGTGAGAAAATTGAAAATTAGGATGTTTGTTTTAATCTAATTTCATAAAACATGTGGGATATGGTATGAATTTCAACTATATACACATCTCATCATTTATCATGTGATTAGATGTTTTAACATTTTTAATATAATCTTATAATTTCCTTTCCTCATAAGTTTTAATTTAATACATAATGGTTTACACCACAATTGATAATTATTTGTGATAATGCCATGTATCTCTAATGGAGATCTAATGGCCATAAATTTTTCATACAATTGGGAATTCAAAAGATGATCAATGACTATAGTTTAGTGTGGTGCAATTCATAGTAAGGAGAAATTATGGTGCCATGAGTCTTTTTTTTTTTTTTTTAATAATTTAAGAATGTGAACTTTTTAGGTTTTTAAATTTGATTCTTTTTTTTTTCTAAATTAAGATATGAATTTTGTGTTTTTACTATTTAAAGATTTATTATATGGTGATAATAACATGACAAACATCAATTTTAATCGGAATAGGTGAATTTGTATTCTTATGTAAAAAAAATGATAAAGTTCATATTTTTAAATAGAAAAATGTAAAAATTTATTGCATAATTTAGAAACTTGAAAAGTTTATATTCTTAAATAGAAAAAAATGATAAAATTCATATCTTTATCTACATCTCCCTTAAAAGGAGTGGGAATTAAACCTATATTTGTAGTTCACTTCTTATAGTGAAGATGAAAGAGAGAAAAGGGAAGATTTGGAAGAGAAACAAATAGATGTTACCAAAAGGTCAGATTTAGTCAAGGGAAAGACAGAAAAGGAAGATGAAGATGAAGGTATGGGACCCATATATTAAAAATTCTGGCTGAGGTTGCTATGCCAAATAACTCATCCTCACATTCATCCTATTTTATTCGTCTGATTAATCATTATTTATTTTATATGCTCGTCTTTTTGAAAAATGTCCAATATTAGTCCATTTGTTAACTTGGGTGTTAAATCTAATAGAAAACAAAATGGGCTTTCAACAGACCCTTAATAGGAGAAAAGAAAAATGATAGACCTATAATGATTTTAATTACAATGATTTATACAGTGTGTTTTTATGATTGATTCTTTTTTAGGGACACTCATAAATTGATATGCATCTTTAATAAAGTGTTGTCAATAATGAAAAGCAAGGCGAGATGATAGTGTCAAAAATGCCAAAGTGATGAAGCAAGAAGCAAGAAGCAAAGCAATCCCTTCTTTGAAAAGAAGTGAGCAACGACAACAAAACAAGAAATTATGATGCATGAAGATCATATGTTACTTGTAAATTACTTCAATTGATGTAAACTTAAAAAATTATATATTTATAGCATGGTAAATTAATTCAATTAAGGATGTATTGCCTAAAAATTGCTTGTATATTACTTCAATTGATGTTTGAAGAAATTATTATGGTTAGAACTTGTAAGGTGGTATACTTATAGCATTGCAGAAGTTTGAAAGTAGTCAAAATAGCAAAACTCCAAGTCTTTAAGCCTTTTATACCAATAATATACTTGATCAATTAAGGAAAAAAAATAATAACACAAATATAGGTTTCAAGTTTCAATCATTCAAATTGAAGTCTAATGTGTTGATGTTGAAGAAAAAAACATAGCACATACAAACAACTTGAACATAAAATAGATGTTTAGGCTCATATAAAGTTAAAATTTCAATTTATCCTTCAATATTTTCCTACCCTTTGTTTGATTTTTATTTTTTATTTTTTGGGTTCCTTTAAAAAAAGCAACAACTTCACCAATGGAGCACTTTTTCATTTCAATTGTTTTCGCTCTACTTCTTGAAGAAGAGGGCTTCATATGTTTTAGAGTGATGGCCCCTCCAATTGCTTCAATTCATTACTTAAAGCAATGGAGCAATCATTTTTTACAACATTACCTGAATGTCATGTCATGTCATGTCATATTGTATAAAATATTATAGTTAAGATAATTGTAGATGTAGCATTACCTTGGAAAGAACTTGCATTTCTTTTTCTCTCCTCTAGGTCATTTAGTGGTCTTGCCTGAAGGGTTTGTTGAGTGCCATTTTATTCCATTAGATATAATACCCGAGTTATGATGGACCTTTTTCAAAAGGTTTGGGTTTATTAGTGGTATGAAAGGAAGGTTAAGGATGAAAGTATCCCATATTAAAAAGGTTAAGGATGAAAAGAGCAATTTACTCATAGATTTAGCCATCTACCTCTTTATTCATAACAAACTCAACTTTCCATTTTTGGTAAAATTGGGAAATTTTAAACATTTCCCCCTTGTTCTCACCAATTTTTCTTAAAGCCTCTCATCGGCACAATGTATATGGATGATCTAGTGAAGTTTGTGCCTATTCATTCTACATAGTTGAAGGTTAGTTCCTCAAAAAATGTGGGTCCAGTTTGCTCCCCCAAGGAGAAGGAGATGAAAAGGAAGTTGCAAAAGGGAAGAAGAGGAGGAGCCGCTAATTCAAGAGGTTGAGTGCAAGATTTGTCAAGATGAAGATTCCATTGACAACTTGGACAAGCCTTGTGGTTATAAGGGCACCTTGAAGGTATTTATTTATTTATTTTTGTTTTTGAAAATGTTTACATATTATTCTTGATCACAAATTTTGTAATTTATATAAATCATTGAAGTAAGGGCTCAAATTTTGAGGGGAAATGATGCTATAGTTTGTAATGATGCATTCTTTTAGAATTCTATTGCTTGCTTTCATCTCATGGCCCTTGTAATAATGTTGAAGTTTTAATCAAATTTTTATATATTTTGTTTTTTATTTATAGTGCCTACGTCTTATTGTGATTATGATATGCTTATAAAAAATGCCTTCAGCATGGTGCAATGAGAAAGGGGACATAATTTGTGAGATTTGTCATGAGTTACTTTGATTCAATGTTTAATGTTTTAGAGTTTTCATTTATATTATAATTTTTAATGTATACTTTTCTAATTTCTACTTTTGGTATACTCAACACCCAACATTTGGTACTTTTTCTTGTGAGTAGTGAATGAAAAGGTCATACTTTTTTTGAGTAGTTTGGTATTTAATTTATAATATATATGGTAAGATTAACAAATAACACTATGCAAATTGATTATGAAAGTAAATTTATTGGGAATGCAATTATGTACACAATTCTTGTTTTCATTTAACTTGTGTTATTAAATATTATTTTCCTTTTATAATAATTTTACTTTATTGAATTGATTCAAAGAGTATTTTACTTTATATTGGTATTTTCAACTCAAATAAGATGTTTACACACTAACGTTTTACTGCCATTACTCGTGTATATATTTTGACAAGTACTTTAACTTATTTTTTTGGTACACCAAATAATGAGTTATACAATAAGAATACCCTTCTCCTTCCCTTAATCTCTTTTCACTTGTCTTAAGGTTTAAACTTGAGATCTTGAATTTAGAGTGTTAAGCTTAGAATCCTAAACTCTTAATCACTTAAGACACGCTTGATCCCATGCACAACTACTTCAACCTCTCTTAATGGGTAATTGATCCTTGATTATTGACCATCGATAAAATTAAAAAGATCTTACGATTTGTTATCCTGTGCAACCTTACTAACTTACTTATACTACTCTACTTCACCCTCATAGCGAGGAAATTGCTATTGATATTGGGTGAGTTCAAATTTCTCATATGTCACTCAAAACCTCAATCAAATGGTTAGTGCTTTTCAATTGAAAATGAATTTAATACTATTCAATTATACTCCCTAATTCAATGTGTATTAATATGTGATTTAAGTATAAGTTAGCAACACTAATCCATATCTTTTTCATCATTTTTTAATTCTTAAATATTTTTTAATATTGACAATATTTCAACTGAAATGATTTCTATTCAACTAAATCTCACAACTTCGATTAGGAAATTAAAAGTTAAAATCTTAAATGTGAACGTTGGGTCTACATGTCTTAAGTGTTTATTAATGAGTCTTTGAACAAAGATTTCAACTTGAATTCTTAAAAATATTAGTTTTTTTTGGAGGATTTAAATACTGTTAATAACTGAAGAGGTCTAACTATCACCCAAGTCATGTCCCCATGTAAGTTTTGTCTATAGGAGTAGGTGTTTGGCTAGTCATGGAGTGTAGTCCATTGACATATAGTAGATTCAGATATTCTTAATGTTTAATAGTGACTAAAATCTACAAAATAGCTGATATTTTTAGAGGAATAGTTGGATTTGACTCTAGGAATCTTAGTAGATATGAAAAGAATGAGGGTTAAAAAATTTAAAATATAGAAAAAAATAATTATAATAGATGTTGAGAAAAGTTTTGACAATTGGAAAATTCCTAAAATTGATGTATACAGCATTTTCATAAAAAAAAAAAAAAAGGAAGCCATTTTGAATTTAGAACAAATTATGTCATTAAGATTGTAGGAAAAATCATACTTTTTATGGATAAATGATAGTAATTTTTAATTACTTTTAAAGCATTTGATAGAAGATCATAAAACCATTAACAAGAATTGGCTTAAATAATTCAGTTTAGTACGTTTAAAAGATTATAGGCATAATAGATTCATAATTTCTCAATTAGGAATAGTGAAGTCAGTCTTATGTGATAGTTTCATTCACTTTAATTGTTATCTAAATTATATCATCTCTAGTGATTATATTATATATATATATCAATAATAAACATAAATATTGTATATTTTGACATATTAAAATTCCAAAAGTTAGTGTTAATTTATGGTCGAAAGTATAAATTGCAATTGCCCCAATATTTCAAGTTAAAGCAAATTAGCACCCAATAAAAAGGTTATAGGCAAATCATCATCCCAAATTTTGTTTTGTTTTGAAGAAATTGGTTCAAATATAATAGTTGGTGTCAATACAATTATATTTCATTAAAATATTACTCAAGGAGTTTAATTAAAAAGTTTATGTCAATCACTAAATTTAGATAAATTTCTTTAATGAAACTTTTAGGTGGCAAATTGCCTCAGCTTTCTTATTGAGTTTTAATTTGCTTCAATTCAAAAATATTGTGAGTTAATTTGCACCTTTGGCCCTTGATTTATACAATTTACTATTATAAAGTAATGACATCATCTATAAATCCTAAGATTTTAAGAAGGCTCCCAAAATATAACCTTGATTCATACAATTACTATAAAATAATGACCATATCCATAAATTCCAAGTCACAAGACATAACTATAAACATGCAAAAACAATTTTATTTTGTGCTAGTGCTGATAGTCAAATGTAGCAATCCTTAAGGCAATCAAATGGAGTAATATTCAACTTGTAGAAAAATGGAAATTACACAAAAAGACCAAGGACATTAAAATATCATAAAATAGAAAGCTGGTCAAATTAAGGATGTAAAAGTCCTAATTAAGTTTGACAAAAGTAGATCATATATTGAGGTTAAGCATCTCATAGTAAGGCTTCTTCATGTATTCCCTACAAGGTTCCTTCTAGTGCCACTTGCTCATGTATGAGTTAAAACATGAAAAAATTGTTTGTCAAAGCACTAAATAGTTAGAAGAATGGATATTACGTCATAATTATGGGGTTCATTTTTTCAGGTTATTATTTTTGTAGCTTTTTAAACCACCATCTCCTAAGTGAAAGTTTCATCAACATTGTTTACAAAATATTCTCATATCATGATGTAAGGAAATTTGGTAAAGGGAGATGATGTAGAATAGAAAATTTTTAAGCAAAGAACTTATATTCATAAGAGATACTAGTTTGAAAAGCTACAAAAGTAGTGACTTAAAAAATATATAATTGGTGGTCCGCAGAGCTACGTTATGGGAAGAATTTGGATTATTGAAGATAGTCACATACTTCTACAAAAATTAAATAATTGAGGCAAAATCACATGGTCTTTTAATAATGCAAGATGTTTTTCCTTTTTATATCAGGCATGCTCTCCTCAATTAGAAGGTCTGCTCATAGAAAGCTCAAGCACTCCAACCTTTGGTTTTCTCTAAGCACTTAGCCTAAAATCTAAACTCTTAACCTCTTCTTGTAAATATGCAGTGTGTTAAGTTGTCCAAATATTCGAAAGCTCCAAGAAGCCCAAATTAAGCTTGATAAAAGTAGATTATTGAGGTTAAACTATAGTAAGGTTCTTTCAATAATCTCTTAAAGGGTTTTTTTAGAACCTCTTGCTCATCTAGGAGTTAAAACATGAAAGAATAGTTTGTCAAAGGCATTAGGTAATATGAAGAATAAATATTACATCCCAATTATAGAATTGATTTTAGATCTTTTTTTTTTTTTATAGGTTGTTGTACCAATTTCTCTTTCCTCACCATTGTATCATATGAAATAATTTTGTCTCTTGATATAAGGAATTTAATATAAGGAGATGAAGTAGAATTTATAACTTTTAGGCACAATTAATTTATATTTATAGGAGATAGTGGTCTAAAACACTACAAAAATAGTGACTTGGAAAGCAATATTATTGGTGGTCTAGATAGGTGCATCATTAAAAGAATCTATATTGTGCATGCTCATAGAAATCTTAACCGCTCTAGCCTTTAGCATTCTTTGAGCACTTAGCCTTGTATTTGAGTTCTCAATCTCCTCTCATAAATTTCCAGTGTTTCAAATTTTTTAATATCCTAAAATCCCAAAAATATTTTCCTTTGTAAGTAGTTGTGAGTATTTTAGTGTGCTTTGTAAAAATCTTGAGTCTTTACTTTGTGAATCACTTTGTTTAGCAATAAATATTAGTTAGTTTTGGTATGTTTTATCCATTGTTTTAATTTGAATAGATATGAAATCAAGAAAATATGTATTAAGCTAGGAATACATCTAAAAAAAAATTATTTAAAGAAGTAAAGATAGAAACCATAGAGCTAGAATACATCAATTGTTGAATATTATAATTGTTCTATTAATATAATTGTAAGCAAATAAACAAAGAAATTTAGCAACTAAGTTAAATTTAGAAATTAATAAGTTGTAAGAACAATTAGATGAGGAACTGAATGTACTATCATACACTTAATGAATAGAAAGGTATAGAAGAATATGATTAAGTAAATTGGTGCATGATAAAAATATGGTATTATAAGAATGTAATTAGAATGGAGGAAGAGGAATCAAAAGAGTAGTTAGCCTTATATATGAGTTCTCAATCTCTTCCCATAAATTTCTAATGTTTTAAGTTTTTCAATATCCTAAAACTCCAAAAAATATTTTCCTTTGTAAGTGTTTGTGAGTGTTTTAGTGTACTTTGTAAAAGTCTCAATTCTCTACTTCATGAATCACTTTGTTTAGCAATAAATAGTAGTTATGTTTGGTATGTTTTATCCATGTTTTTAGTTTGAATTGATTTGTAATCAAGAAAATAAGTATCAAGCTAAAAAGACATCTAAAAAAAAGACTATTAAAAGAAGTAAAGATAGACACCATAGAGTTAAAATGCATCAATTGTTGGATATTATAATTGTTCTATTAATAAAACTGCAGGCAAATAAACAAAGGAATCTAGAAACTAGGTTAATTTTAGAGATTGATAAGTTGCAAGAACAATTACATGAAGAACTATATGTGCTATCATGTGCTTAATGAATGAACAGGTATAGAAGAATATGATCAAATAAATTGGTGCATGATAGAAATATGGTATTATAAGAATTTAATTAGAATGGAGAAAGAGGAATCGAAAGCTTTATTAAGATAAATAAGAACTTTTACATTTATTAGAATAAATTATTAACTTAAAAGATATTTAGAGCAATTGAAGAAATCAACATTACTAATTGAGTAAAACAATAGGGAGAAGTGATTAGCAAATTAGTGGGATAAAACTTGGGTCAATTTTGGTATAGAGCCATTGTGTGTTTAGTTTAAAATTTTTTTGTTGGACCTAAGTGATAATTAAAAAATAATAAAAGTCGGTGTCCACATCAAATTTAAAGATTTGATTTAAGGATCTCTCTTATAATGGAGGCTAGACAATTTATGGCACCTTTCTCAATTTGCATAATCCTCACATCTTGGCCATTGCTGAGGTGGAACAATAATTTTTGAAGTCAAATATGATGAATATTCAGCTTCAAATGTTAGTGAAACTGCATTTGGCCATTTAACTACTCTAATTGTAAGTCTTTTATAATGTTCGAGCATTTAATAATTTTACCGTTATGGTAGGAACTATTATTACAAAACATTTTATTCATTGTATACGCCATCCTCTTAGGGATTTAGTTTCTAACCTCAATCTAGATCTAAAGGGATCTACCTAGAGTCTTAAGTTAATTGGTTTAGTTTTCTAGTTAAGGGTTCTTTTGCTCTTGCACCATGCATTCACTTTTCCAAATAAGGAAGTAGATGATGACGTGTCTACTTTCTTCTTTGTAAGTAGAATCTAAACTTGGTTTTGGTTCTGTCAAAGAATTAAATCTCCCATGTAACTCTAGGGTATTTAGCGTTATAGTAATTAAATTATTGAACCAAGCATCGTAACTGTATTAACTTTTTACAGCTTTTCTTTCTTTAAGCTATTGCTTTTCTCTTGCCATGCTACATCATGGTTTGAGCCATTAGTATATTGCAATGTCAAAGATAGAGACAAGTTATTCTCAAAATTTTTTTTCTTTTATTTGTAATCTTATATTTGTTTCATCCCAGATTTTCTTTATCCCTTCAATGATATATCTCACACATTTTTTGAATTTTAGATTTTTGAAGTTTTACCCAATGTCATAACCCGATTTTTCATTCAGTATCAATCACCAAATTAATAAAAAAAAAAAAAAAGCACAAAAATATAAAAATATGAATTTTCTCTTTCCTTTAACTAATATGTCTTTATTTTGTTTCAGGAGTTATGTGCAAAAAGAAATTCAAGAAGAAATGGAAAAGAAACTCAAGAAAGGGACTAAATTGAAGAAATTTAAAGTACAATGCCAAATTACAAAAAATCATGCAAAACCCTTGAAGTGCAGCCCATTTCTCCAACCCATCTCAAATGGCCCAAAATAATCCAAAAAAAAAAAAAAAACCAAAACCCAATGTTAGCCCAAACCCAACCAAAACCCTAGTTTCCTTTCTCTTAAAAGAGGAAGGGAACGGACAAGGAGCAAGGGGGCTGGCAGCACAAAGAAAAGAAAAGTCTTCCCCCTGCACTGCTGCCCCCCACACACCGCGAACCAGCCCTGCTCAGCGCCCCCTGCTCTGCACCGATCCTGCTCTGCGCCCTCGCCTGCACCGACCCTGCTGCCTACGCCCCTGCTTGCCTACACCGAGCCTGCACTCTGCCGCCAACCTGCGCCTCTGCC